TTGTCGTGTGCTGGAGAGGTTGTAGTCGGTTAGAGAAGAGTGACAAATCATCCTTCCATAGCATTGATGATATTATGGAGTTCATATTCATCAAGTGGAGGAGTGCTGGCTGGTGATTGTGCATCAGCGATATCCCATTCAAGGTTGAGTCTGTCGGCGCCTTCTTTGACGTGAGCAGGGATATCCAGTGTAGTCATAGCAACAATTTCTTTTAGAAATTCTTTAGTTATCTGAATTTGATGTTCTCCATTTTCTTCGTAATAAATATGCAGAGAAGTGACAAAAAGTCGTCTTCCATCACAACAGTAGAAGATTGGTTCTGAGTTGTTATATGATCCGTTTAGGATACGACGAGTAGTATCTTGTAAATGTAAGAAACTGTGAATTTCTAAGTAATAAGGAAGAATGCTGTTAGCGATTTCTTTTGAATTCAAAAGTTGATTATGCTCATACTCATCATGTGCGGTGAGCTTGAGATACCATATTTGATAAGGTTGAAAAAATTGAGTTTTTTCTCGACTGCCAATGGTACTGGAAATCCAAAAAGTAAGGTTTCGGCTATAATTCCATCGAGAGCTAACTTTGTAGACCATGGATTTGATCATGGCTGGAAAAGGGCTGTAAGAATCACCAGAGGTAAAAGTGAGTTTATTCACAAGTCCCCAATCAATTGGTTCCATGGACCAATCAAAACTCGGAATAATGAAAAGAGTCAGTTTTGGGACTTTCTTGCCATTGTAGAGTACATCAAAGGTATTGATGTCTTCATGCATTTCATGATAAAAGAAACGTATTATTTTATAATGATCCTCGGTTTTAAAGAATATTACATGAAAAAGCTCAAGGGGGAAAATGTTTCTTGCTTTTTCAAGAAGACATATACAATTGATTTTGGCAAACGTGTTTTTTGGAAAATCTTGTTCTCCTATCAACTGGGCAAGTTTAAGAAAACAATTTATTTGAGATAAAGGAAAATCTTTTTCCCAGTTAATAGTAAGACAGATTTGGATGCAAAGCTGTTTAAGCTTAGCAGTCATGGCTGCTTGTTCAGCTATGAGTGCTGTAAGAGTACTCAGATGTTGTCTGAATTTCTTATGTGCACCAAGTTTATGAGCTTTCCAAACGTTATTAATTGCTTCATAAATATCGTTTGGAAGACCAGGATTATAGAAGTCATTAACTTCTGTCTGATCCTGATGTTTTGAAAATATTTTTTGTGATGCTTGTCCCACATTATAGAAAACTGTTTGAGCATCTATAAGGGTATCATAAACCTTAAAACACGAACCATTGAAGGAATGAAGCTGTTTGTGGCAGTCATTCCATTCTGCATAAATGCCTGGTTGGTGACCAGCAAAAACCACGAACAATTTTTTTGGTTGTGATGGAGTTGGCTTATCAACTGCCTTTTTAGCAATAGTGATCCAACCATCTTTATCTTGTTGAGGATGTTGTTCATCTATCTATAACAACGGAAGTAGAAATATCAGTGTTAGATATTTCTTTAGGTCTGCTTAAGAAATCTGCAAGAAAATTGTTAGTTCCTTTAATATGTTCAATAGCAAAGGAATATTGAGTAATAACATTATACCATTTTAAACGTCATCCATCTAAACAATTCTTTTTGTTTATAAGGAAATCTTTTACTGCTTGGTTGTCAGTACGAATAATAAAGTCTTCGGAAGCAAGATAAATATGAAAACGTTTTATCGCTAATTTTATAGCCAGAAGTTCTTTTTCATAAATAATATAATTCTGTTCATTGGGTTTGAATTTTCCAGAATTATAGCCACAAATTAATTCTTCTTGTTGAAGCTTTTTTGTGATAGGAGTTTTACGGGCTCTTATCATGTGAATGGAAGAAGCAATGTCTTCATGCCATTTATCACAAGGAATGGCTTTTAACACACATCCCCAACAGAAATCAGAGGCATCGGTTTCGAGAATGAGTTTATCGCCGTTTTGAGGAAAATAAACTTCAGGGATATGAACTAAATCGGCTTTGATTTGTTGGATAATGATGGTGTCATTATCAGTCCAGTCGAAAAGCTGTATTTTCCTATAGCTTCTTTATTAAAGGAAGTTCTTTTTGAGACAACCCTTTAATAAATGTGCGTCCATAATTCAAGATTCCCAAAAAACTCTGTAGCTGTTTTTTATCTTGAAGAATGTCAGGAAAATCACGAATTTTAATAATGATGTGGTCTTGTAGCTTTATACCTTTGTGGGTTAAATCTAGACCGAGAAAATCAATAAATTCTTTGTCAACATCTATCTTGGTTGGAGATAAGATGATCACATAGTTTTTCAGTTTTTCTGAAAGACATAGAAGGTGTTTTTTATGCTCTTCTCTTGTTTTAGAGAAGACCAGGATATCATCGATATAGACGACAACAAAATCTTTAAGATCATTAAAGATAGAGTCCATCCAACGCTGATATATCTGAGGTGCATCATTGAGACCGAAAGGCATTACGGTCCACTGATAATGACCTCGTGGGGTACTGAAAGCAGTTAGTGGCTTGGATTTTTTTCGTAATTTTATTTGCCAGAAACCTGCTTTATAATCAAACTTGCTAAAGATTTTGGCTCCGCGAGTTTGGTTGATAAGAACATCTTTTCGAGGAATAAAATATCCATCAAAGATTAAATGTTCATTAAGCCGTTTATAGTTTATTACCATTCGAGCTTTACCTCGTTTTACCTCACTATGATTTCTTAACATAAAAGCAGGACTGCTATGAGGGCTGCGGGTTCGTTCAATGAGCTTCTTTTCAAGAAGGTCTTGAAGCTGAGCGTCAAATTCGTCAATATCTTTGCGAAGATAGATCATTGGTTTTACCCGAATGATGACGTTGTCGTCCTTAAGTTTTAAGCTGCAAAAACGAGGACTTCTCTTCCACAAGTTTAATGGATTATCAGAGAAATTTTGTTGTAAAGAAGTATATAACCAGTGGGTATCGGTTAAGACAAGTAAATCATTATGGTCCCGTTTTGGGGGCGAAAATGTTTCATTACAAACAAAAGCTAAATTTTCTTGAATTTGAATTTCAACAACTGTTTGATCTTTTAAAGTTAAAGAAATAGTTTTTTCTTTTAACTGTAAAGGGAGATAACTATAGATGAAGTTACATCCAAGAATGAAATCACCATGCATGTATAGGAAGCAAAGGATTTTTGGAATAATGAATTTTTTATCATTTAACCAAATAGCAACATCTTTGGCTTTAAATTGGATTACATTCATGGGGGCTTCAGCATCTATGCCTTGAATGCCAATGGGATGCTTCATCTGCTGCCATTTTTCTGCTGGAATAGCATTGTATCGGCAACAACTAGTGGTTGCTCCAGTGTCAATAAGAACACAGAGGCTATAGGGTTTATAACCTTTAAAGTTAAATATACCATTGACATAGGTATATTTACGCTTTTTTCCTTGTGAAGGAGCAATAAGGATTTCATCATTTCCCGTGCAAAAATGAAAAAAATTTGCAGAGTTCATAGAATGATTTGAACCAGGTAAAAAGGGAGCGTTTCCTTTAGGGTTAATGGGAGCTTTCCCTTTTTCTGTCCAAGTAAATCTTCTACGAGGAGGTGCATCGGTAGACAATCGGGGGGGAAGAATTTTTTCCCATCCAGTGCTTCGTGCAAAAGCAGAACGTTGTAACTGAGGAGGCTTTTCTTTATTGGTGATATAAAGATTTGAGCCAGAGGCATGAATAGTAGCAACAGTGGGTTCTGTAATGCGTAGTTTTGGTTCAGAATTGATATTATCAAATAACCAATTTCGAGGAATTTCAAGATCCGTCCAATTGAGTAATTTGGGCTCAATTATGGTATCAAAAGGACGTGGTTCAAACAAAGTGACTAGTTTAGAGTCAATTATAGGAATGGTAGCAGTTTCAAGCTCGCGAGTAAGCTCGTATAGAACTTTCCATTGGATACCTAAACTGGGAGAATCAAAGTCCATTTGAAGTTTAGACAATTGGAGTCTGACTTGAAGTACTTTCTCAATGTTTGGATCGGAAAGTGAAACAAAATAATTAGGTTTAATTTTGAACCACATTAGATTGTTAACAAGGTTGGATTGTACTCCACCGATAAGGGCATCGACGGGCTTATGGAAACGATTATCCATGACGATCGCAACAACTGGTTGGTCGGTTCCTCGTCGAAAGAGAGAGGTAATCTTGATTTGAACTAAGCCAATATGAATATATCGTGCGAGAGGATTCTGTAGTTTCCAACGTTCTATTTTATCCTTGTTGAGATACCTAGACACACACCTGCAACCAATACAGTTACCCGAATCACCAGCTAATTGCACCTAGAAAACCATGCATTCTCCCATTAAGACACCCCTTTTTGAGACAATAGAACTGATTTCCATCCCCATAACTCCCTATCCCTATCAACTAACAAAAATGTCTATGCCCAAAGTATTAAGGCCATCTTCGGTTGCGTGAAATTTGTGCCTTAGAATTAGATTCGCAGAAAATTTAGTTCAAATACGTTTAATCAAGAAAGCACCAATGAGTTCAGTCACTAGTGCTTGTTACTCTCCAATTCATTCTTATACTGGTCACTAGTTCGCAAATATACTGAGTTTTGCTGTAAAAATCAAAGCGTTCAGTCACTAGTTGAATTTCCTGCTCGTATAATTTTGGAAAATATACTGACCATCAGGACTGGTTGGATTTCATGAACTACATAACCGTGGAGAATCGAATTTCACTAGAATTTACTGTTGGAATCGGATTTCAAATTTTCAAGTGCTTTACACAAACCCAGACCTTTAAAAAAATTTGGTCAATTCAAATTCAAGATATTCTCACCGTTTACATACTCCTATATATTGTTAGAGGTATAAATTAAAAAGCAGGAAAACAGAGGAAGTTTTCATGAATTCATCCATAAATCAGGCTGCAAGACTAAAAATAGATTCTATTTTGATCGAACACACTATAATTTTTCAAAAAACAACAAAAACTATGGTTATAATGAAATAATCAGTAATACATTCAAATTAGGTCGTAAATTCAGTAACTTACATCAGATTGGAACTACACCAAAGTCTGACGATGACTCACGAATTAAAACTATGGTTAAAATGAAATAATCAGTAATACATTCTCAGTCTGAGACCTTCTGTAAGCAATTAAGCGATTTCACCAAGGGCCTGTTTGAGTTTCAATTAGAGATTATTATTAATGGTTTAAGATTGTCTTACCCATAAATTCTGTTTGATCCAATAGACAAACTATTTTGACAAAACAAACATGAATAAGACAGCATAAAAGATGATTTCAGCTTTGGAACAACATTTCTTGATAAAGAATCAAAACAAGTGCAAGCAGCACACTACTTTGGTTGCGACTCACTGGAAGTGATAAAAGGCTCATCCTGTAGCCTCCAATGCACCTGAGGTACCACCTCCAATGTCTTGTAGAACTCCAGGGAAAGCACCTGGTTGGTGCAAACCGTGCAATGGAGCACCATTCTCCGTAACTTCACACTTGTAGTCAGCAGGAAAACGCCACGGCCCACAGTAACCACTCTGCAATCCAACAAAACAAGAAATGCACACCAAAATGCAAGGCGATTAGGGCTTCCAACCTTTGAACTAACTAACTAGGCAACAATGTTAAAGCACATTTGGGCTCTATTATCGGTATATAGGTGTAGTGGGCGAGAAGTTACCTGATGAAGAACAAATGCTTCTAGGAGCTGGAGAAAGATTCTGCAGCTAAGGAGGGTGGCATTCCATCATCCCAGAACTCTCTTCCATTCAAGCACCCTCACCAATTTTGAATGATACTGTTTCTTCGATGCAAAGATCAAGTTACTAGTTAATAGTTGCACTTGCATGAAGTTTGTGGTCTCAACTTCTTGAATTAGTTTAAAGGTTCAAATTCCGTGGACAAAATGAGTGAATGTGTTATTTTTCAGGAAAAAAAGATGGTTGCTCTTGTGCTTCTAGGTGCTTCCTTATAATCATACTAATTTAGATTCATGACTACTGATAACAATTATTAGCATTTATGCAAAGGGTTGCCTATATTCAGTACCGAGAAGAACATGAGGTACAAAATAGTGAGATGAGTGTTTCTAGCTACAAACCATTTGAGGAGTACAAATTTGCATAACTCAACCAAATCTTGCTGCAAACAATCTTAACGTAACCTATGTGTTTTATAAATTTCGGAGATTGTCACACTTCCCAAGTGTTCTTTCCTGCTCTACTATGATATCTTCTTAAATTTTAGTTGTTAAGAGTGTGTAGTTCAAATAATTTAAGAGCAATGAAATGCAGGCCAACCTCGTATAAAGAAATACAATAAAAGGGGTGAAATCATGCCATCCAAAGTGGCGATTTGAAGGAGTATCAACTTTACGAAGTGCAGAGGTGGGTGTGCAAAGCCCTAGGGGTTCAAGAGTGCACAAATGTTTACAAAGAGTGTATTAATTAGGTAGAATTTGCATGTGCTAAAGTGTACATAAAAACTATGTGTTATATGTATTGCATGCAAATTGTCAAATTTAAGCCATAGATGACCCCTGTGCACACTGAGATATATATTTATATATATATATATAGGAAATGTTACATTTTTCAAGAAATAGATAGGAGGAGCTAGTCATACATCTTTTTTCTTATTTTTTTTCTTTTGAAATCCTAGTCAAATGGATGAAGCAAAAGAGCTTATTAAGGGATTATAAGGTAGAATTTAAGCAAAAGAGCTTATTAATGGATGAAGCAAAAGAGCTTATAAGGTAGAATTTAAAATTTGGAAACTGGACATTAGGTGTAATCAAGGCCAATGATCCACAACTTATAAGAATACAAAAGAGGACAAACATGAGATAGCCAAACTATTTAATCATCAATCATCACACAACTAGTTCAAAATAAATTATGGAAGTCTTTAAGAACACACATACTAGTTCCAAAATAAAATACATAAAAAATATTTATAAAATTATTTTCTTCAAGAAATAGAGAAAGGAGTTAGCCGAAGGCAGATACCCAAAAGGCCGTTTCATGTTCTTCAGGAGGAACAAAAGCTCATTTTGTTGGGTGTAGGAGCTTACACTGAGAAACAGAGCAAAAAAAGAAGTAAAACAATGTTAGAATAAGCAAAGTAAGAGCCACCAACCATAAGTAGTTCATAAACTGAGTAACAACTCATTTTTATTCATTGATGACCTGGTGGTGCGGTTATTAGTAGCCTTGACGTCATATAAATACTCATATTTGAACATGACATAGCCAAAAAAATATTAAAATCAGTTTAAGCATATTTAATTAGCCAGACAATGTTAAAAAACAGCAGAGAAGCACACATTTGACTGAGTTATGCACCTTCAGATCCATGTTTAGAATTTGAAAGAGTTCCTTTGATACTTTCACATAGCCCACCCAACAATAGAAAAGAATAAAAATGAAAAAGATGTTTACCAATTAACTTTGAAGCCTCCTCCGCAGTCTGGCCATATTCACAGCTGCTGTCACATAGAGCCAATCTGCTATGTTGTTCAACAACTTCAAATAAGCATATCTCCATGTCCTTTTGAGCAATAAAGTCCCAAATAATCCACCAAATCCAACACCAAAACCTAACCCCATACTGATATAAAATTCAGGGGTTATGAAGTTGTCCTCTTGAATGTTGTTGTCTTTTTGGCAGTCATCAACGGAAGAAGGATCTACAGCATCTGTATCATCTCCTGGGCACTTTTTAGGTAGTGGAAGCCCACAAAGTTCTTGATTCCCAATATAAGAAGCAGCATCGAAGCTCTGTAGTTGAGTGCTTGCTGGAATTCTGCCGTATAAATTGTTATATGACAAGTTCAAGACACTAAGGTAATTTAGACGAGCAATGCCGGTAGGAATCTCACCAAAAAGCTGGTTTTTGTACAAATCGAGAGCTTCTAACATTTTCATATTACCGATGTTTTGAAAAATGGTTCCTGTCAAATTGTTTCTCGATAGGTTCAAGAAGATTAATTCTGCAAGACTTGAGAATTCTTGAGGAATTTTTCCAGACAATTTATTGCACGAGAGATCAATACCTCTTACTAGTCCTAGGGTTTTTTTATACTGAGAGACTTGTCCTTTCCATAGCAACGTCACACTGTCCATGTAATCCACAGAACCCAAATAATGAACACCTTTAAAATGTGGAAAAAGGATTTCTTCATCATCACCACCCCTTTGAACACATGATGTGAAATTGTTGATGCACCATGGTATATTTCCAGATATATTGTTTTGAGAGAGATCCAAGATACGAATTTTGTTAAGATGGCATATATTCACAGGTATGCTTCCAAAGAACTCATTCAATCGGAGACTAAGAATCATCATTCTCGTTAGGTGTGACCCTATCCATGTTGGTATTTTTCCTGATAATTTATTTTCTCCTAGATCCAAGTGTATCAAATTTCGGCAATTCTTCAAGGACGAAGGCAATTCGCCAATAAAATTATTGTTGCGCAAATTCAAGGTTTGAAGCTGATGGAGGAAGCCAATAGAGCTAGGAATTCTCCCAGTCAAATTATTGTTAGCGAAATCAAGAATGAGTAAGTTTTCCATTTGCATCCAACAGTCAGGAAGCTCTCCTGATAGTAGGTTAATGCAGAGGTCTATAGCAGTAGTAAAAGACGCACTTTTCATCTTGCATAAGGAAGAAACTGACCCTGAAAATGTATTGTTGTAGAGATGCAATGATGTCACACTGGGATCATAAAGTGGTATGGGACCTTCAAAATGATTAGAGCTCAAATCTATCTCTATATGAAGTTGATCACTATAGAGATTCTTTAATGACAAATTGTACACCATTCCCTTGATTTGGTTGGACGAGAGATTTAGGTAAGCCAGTTTGGGGGATAAATCCCAAAACCGTTTAGGGACAGTATCTGAAATTCCAGCACCAGAGATATCAAGCTCAGAATAATTGTTTTGAGTTAGAAGCCAGTTTGGGAAACGAGGCCCCAACTGGCAAGAGCGCAACTTTATGACATCCAGTTGAAAAGGAGGAATCCAATCAGAACTGAAGTTTAAAACCAACGAGTTACAAGATAAGTCCAAGTGTTGTAAGTTGGAGAGATTGGAGAAGTGGGCTTCAATTAGTGTCCCATTTATCTGATTGTTCGACAGATGCAACTCTCTCAATGATAAAAATACTGTAAGACGAGGCAATGACCCCGTAATACAATTTTCAGAAAGATCTAGAACAACAATGGTGGAAATTTGTCCAAAACTTTCCGGGAAAGATCCATTCAATTGATTATAATCAAGATACAATTCCCTCAAGTTTGAAAATTTTGTAATATCTGGTAATGAACCACTGAGTTTATTCTCACTCAATTGCAAAATCTCTAATGTGTTCTCCACAGGCCCTGACAAGTTCTGAAGAAACTTAGGAAGCTGTTCTGTTAAATTGTTTTGTGACAGATGTAATGTTCGTAAACTACTCAAGTTCCCAAAAGATTTTGGAATTCCGCCCTCAAGGTGATTGGAAGAGAGATCAAGATGGGTTAGGAAATTCAGGTTTCCAAAAGCATTTGGAATCAGACCTTGCAAGTTGTTCTGAGAAAGATACACTTCAACAAGACTGCTATTGAAGTTGCACAACCAGCTGAATATTGAAGATGTGAGAGAATTCACAGAAAGATTAAGGGAAGCAAGAGACTTCGAAGAATTAATCAACGAAAGAGTGGAGGGAATGACAGCACGCAGTCTACAAGAAGACAATTGCAAGTCTGTTAAAAGAGGAAGATTACTAGTTGCCTCCATCCAATCAGTTGCTTCACTAAGGTCAACGGTACTCAGATCAAGGAATCTTAATGAAGAAAGATGAGAAAGCCACCTAAGATTTTTTACACTCAAATCATTACGGCTGAGATCAAGAGAGCACAATTCCGAAAGGTTCCCAAACTGAGATGGAACTTCGCCGGAAAAGCCAGCCCCTGTAAGATTAACGTGTTGTAATCTTCGGAGGAAACCAATGAACTTGGGGATGTGGTTCCCTCCAAAATCATTGTAACTGAGGTCTAAATACTTCAAATGCTGCAATTCAAGCAATGAAGGACTAATCTTACCTTGCAAACGCTGATAGGAACCGTAGAGAGGGGGCGGGACATGAAGATCAAGCATGATGACATGACCAGTGCGGTTGCTACACCAGACTCCTCTCCATTTGCAGCAGTCTTTATTCTCTTTTGCGCTCCCCCAAGAAGAGAGAAGACCATAATCATCAACAAGGCTACGTTTAAAATCAAGGAGAGCTCGTCTCTCCCTCTCTATGCACCTCACATTAGCATCATCTCCAACTCCCAAAGTGAATAATCCAGGAGCTGGTTTCATTTTCATGCATAACAGAAGTAGCACAACAACAATCATGTGGAGAAATTTAAGGAAGATCTCTCCAATTATCATTTTAAGAACAGAAAAGATTACAATCAGAAATCAGAATAAAGCAGCAAGAACTCAAATTAATTATGGTTTTGCACATATAGAGTATAAAAATGAAATATTGAATTATAGCATTTTTCTTAACGTAAATCATGGTTCCAAAGTCAAGGTCCACATCAAAGTCGTCTATGGCTGTAACATGAAGGCCAATTTTTCCTTATATTATTCTTCGTCTGTTTATTATTCATCAAACAACAACCAATAACTTTCGAGGCCTTAAAATTAAGAGTTTAATATGCTTTTCAGTTGCTTTCTCTCCACCATATAAAGGATTTGATCAACAAACACTTTGTCGTCTACAAAATGAAATGCCAGAGAAGTCAACAAGTCAGGATCAAGATCCCCACATCAAAGTCAACTCTGGCTATAATGCAAGTCTGTTTATTACTCATAAGTCACAATAAGACCAAGTTTCTCCATATATTATTCTTCAGTCAACAACAACCAGTAGGTGTGTAGATATTTTATTCAAGTATCTATCATTCACTGTCGGCGTTTTGTGTCATGATAGTAATTTCGTCGAATGACTGGTATGCACTATATGGTAGACGTCTCAAGGATTTCTCTCCATGATATTGGAACCCCATTAACCCCTTAAAAACTAATGTAAGCATTTGAAACATTAGTCACCATCTGTTTAGTTTATTTATTTTTTATTTTTTTGGGTAAAAATAAACCAACAGATATGTCAAAGCAGACAGTACTAGTAAAATTGTAAGACATCAAGTGGAAAACATTTCTAAATCAATTCATGATGTATTATAATCAAGAAATGAAAGATACGTATTATAAAATGGATAGTCTCATACTCTTCTGACGCCATGGAGCTCGAATCCCTGGATTTCTCTTCTCTTCTCTTCTCTTTGAGTTTCGCTCTCAGGCTCTGCGCATCGCTCTTGCTCTCACTGGTGTGACTTAAATTTTGTTGCTCACACGCTCCAATGGTGATTTCAAGTTCTTTAAGTACAATAAGATATATATATATATATAATCAGTACACAAAATGAATTGCCATGAAAAGGTGAGGATAAAGAATTACAATGAAAAAGTGTGTGTGACTCTCATCCGCGAAGGTGCATGTGTGATTCTCATCTGCGTGTCATTGTGGATAGCATTCAGCTGCGGGTTTAAAATAATAGCAAAAATGGATCCGGTTCGCAGGATACTTAGATATATATATATATAGGAATAAACTTATAAAGAAACTCTTGATGCACGCGTTATATATATATACAGAGGAATAAACTTATAAAGAAATTCTTAGTGCATTCCAGGAAGGTAGCAACACACTACGACAGCGATTATGGGGTTACAACAAAAGGGCATTTTGAAGAATAACCAAACAATCACATAGATTGAAGGGGATAAGGAGTAATCTGAAATGTCACTTACGCCAAAACCTAGTGTCGTTTACTATAGCATCGTTTACTATAGCATAAACCTAAAAAGTGTTGAACCAATATCTATTGTTCAAACAGGAGAAATCTAGTTGCGAAGATATCTCCAAGGATGAGCCGATAGAACTAGTTTAAAAAACACAATCTAGGTCCGGAAGTTATATGTACTTGCACGCAATAATATAGCTTAGGGGATTATGGTGACATTTTCATGCATAGTAGAAGTAGCACAACAACAATCATGTGGAGAAATTTAAGGAAGCTTTCTCCAATTATCATTTTCAGAACAGAAAAGATTACAATCAGAAATCCGAATAAAGCAGCAAGAACACAAATTAATTATGGTTTTGCACATATAGAGTTGAAAAATGAAATATTGAATTATAGCATTTTTCTAAAAGTAAATCATGGTTCCCAAGTCAAGGTCCACGTCAAAGTCGTCTATGACTGTAATGCAACTCAATTTCTTCATCAGTCACATGCATGAAGGCCAATTTTTTCTTATATTATTCTGTGTCTCAAACAACAACCAATAACTTAAAATTAAGAGTTTAATATGCTTTTTAGTTGCTTTCTCTCCACTATATAGAGGATTTGATCAACAAACACTTTGTCTTCTACAAAATGAAATGCCAGAGAAATCAACAAGTCAGGATCAAGATCCCCACATCAAAGTCAACTCTGGCTATAACGCAAGTCGGTTTATTATTCATCAAGTCACAATAAGACCAAGTTTCCTCCATATATTATTCTTCAGTCAGCAAAAACCAGTAGCCGTGTTTTTGGGGTGTAGAGCAAAAAAACACCCTCAAATATGCTTACAATGCATATCACATCCCTCTCATACAAAAAACATCTTGACTAAAACATTTAAAACTAAACTTGACTAAAATACCCTTAGTCAACAATTTTATAAAATATATAAAAATACAAAAATTTGTAAAAAGACCAAAAAGGACAATAAAAAGTGATTTATTTTATTTTTTTTTATTATTATTATTTTTTTTTTACGGAACACGTCGTCCGCGTAGACTTTGTAGAAGCCCTTGGCGGTGTCGAAGTAGCCGAAGAAGACGGAGTTGGAGAAGAAAGAGAAGAGGTTAGGGACGGTGGAGGAACCGGATGAGGTGGGACCGGAGAAGAGGATCTGGGAATGGTGCGAATCGTACCAAGCACGTTCGCGAGGGTCAAAGAGCACCTCGTAGGTGTTGATGAGCTCCTAGAAGGAGGCGGTGGCATCGGCTTCGGAGACGCCGAACTGGACGAGCTTATCGGGGTGGTGCTGGAGGGCAAGCTTCCTGTAAGACGACCGGATCTCGTCGGCAGTACAGTCACGGCCGAACCCTAAGACCTCGTAGAGACATCGTTTTTCCGGCGACGCCGAAATATGAAACATCGTGTCTCAGAGTTTCAAACCCGTCGTTTTCCACCTCCGATGGTTTGGGGAATTAAAGGCGTCGCGACCCTTGGAGAGAAGGAGATCAGCGAAGGAAGGGGTTTTGACAGTGGAGGAATCGGTGGTGGTGTAACGACCCGAACCCGTGGGTGTGAATCATTAACTAGGTCCTTAACCAGACCCGAGGTCAACTAAGGGTACAATCATCATTTCTTGTGCTCATAGGTAGTATTCGATTCACTACAAGACTCAAGATACACCAAATACAATCTTAAAAGTAAGGGGGTCAAAGCACTGGTCAAAGGGGAAGGGTCAGCCAGCTGGTGGCCATTCGTCGGCCGGCTAAAACTACATGTTCGATCAGCTGACGGGGATGACCAACCGGCCGAAACGGTTGTTCAAGTTGCAAACTCTCGGGACTTTGCTAAAATGGTTCATCGGTCAACTGAAAGTGAGGTTCGGCCAACTGATGAAGGAGGTTCAGTCGCCTGGTGGTGAGGTTCGGCCGGCCGAAACAAGGTCTTCTAGGACTCAACTCTCTGGAATGCCAAAATGTGCACTATCAGCCGGCTAATGGTCCTTGTTAGCCGGCCGACAGGCCTTGGGAAACTACTATCTGGAGCAGATAACACCAAAAGGACTAGGCTCGTTGTGAGCCAACCTGCACAAGACCTGATACGCAACCAAATCCCGAATTCACGACAAAAATATACAACATTACACAGGTATAAGCATCAATAGTTTGTCACAAAATATACCATCACTTCCCATTCATTACAACATACTTACATAGTTCCAAATTTACAACAAGTGGTACCATAACATTATAACTACATTACAAAACGAATACATTCTTAGGTTGAGGCTTTACAAATGGATGGGTTAAAATACAAAAGGCGGCAAAAACATGAAATTCTATTCCCCTTCAAGCTTGTGGTGGATTGTCATCCGCCACCTCCTTTCCGTGACCTGAAAATGTTAATATAAAGGAGTGAGCACAATGGCTCAGTAAGAGGTGCCTAAGACACACCTCTTGTGACCCCGTGAATCCATACAATGAATAGAATGAAGAAAACGGAGTCATACCATACCGGGGGATAACTTAACAACAATCAACAGTCCAAGTCATAAATGAGCTATGCCTGCAATATTTCTATTTTTTTACCATTTTCCATTTTTTTAGTATATTCTGAATTTTTCGAGCATATTTTCGTCTTTTCTAGTTTTACGTACCGGACACCGTGGGGTGTGCCGGATGTGTCCGAGAGTTGGTTGGGGCATTTCTTTGAGTCCATGACTCTCTTGTGTTCGGGGACAGTCACAGCAGGCTCGGTCTACACCTACAGTTCCTGTTTCCTTGGGGAAGTTGATTTGTCACCACTGTCAATAGCCGGGGCACATCAAGCCTCGCTGCCCCTAGTTGCAGCCTCAGGGCAGTCGTTCTCAGATTGGTAAGTCTTCAGCTTCGACACAAGGGCTCCAAGGGATTTACCATTACTGCAAGTAGCCTGAGCATTTCAAGAGGAAGTGTCCATACCTACAGACAGAGCACAAAGTGGCGCTGGTTCATAGGCCACACCTGCACAATCTACAACTGTTCAGTCGGGTTTCAGGGTGCCTCAAACACCACAACCAGTGGCGCCATCAGTTGGTTCTTATCCGAGTAAAGGTTTTACACCTACTGCTTCCGGACATCAGTCGGGCCATCAGGGCAATTCTCAGCAGTCAAGGGCTCAGGGACGAGTCTACGCATTGCCACAGGCCGATGTTTTCGCAGGGACTTCTATGGTTCGAGGTATCCTTCCAGTTTTCAATTCTTGGGCTAGAGTTCTTGTTGACACTGGTGCATCACATTCATTCATATTTGCTTCATTTGTACATTCGTTGGGTCTGGAGGTCACGCAGCGGGATAATTTCTTTTGTGTTGACACACTAGTTGGGGGTCTAGTGTTTTTGGACCGTGTTTATCGAGGTTGTGCTATTGAGATAGCTAGGCAGACCTTAGAGTTCGATTTTGTTATTTTTGACATGACGGGCTTTGACGTCATTCTTGGGATGGATTGTGATGAGCACTGAAAAGTGCGCATTTAAACCCCTTAAGCTTAGGTATTCTATGACCTTTATCTATCTTATTTTCCCATTTTAGACTAATTTCATGTTATTGCCCTTTTCAGGCACTTATCCCAAAAATAAGTTAATTCAGCCAAATAAGAGCTTAAAATAAGCTTACTCAAGCTGGATGGAAGAAATGAGCAAAGTGGAAGCAGAATGAAGCAAAGGATGGAAATTCAACATGTTCGATCGATCTCAAGAATACTTCAATCGATCTGGAATTCATCGATCTAGACATTTCAAGATGGATCCAAGCCTTTGTCCTTATCCAAAAGAATCCACCAAGTTCGATCGATCCAACATTTCTCAGATCGATCAAAATGATTCGATCTTATCCACACCTACCACCTACCTACCACTTTTGTCTTTTTCCCAAAAATATCCCAAAATATCTCAGAGATTTGTCTTTATTCAAAAAGGCACCTCCAAAGATGATTGATCTCTGCAGTATTCGATGGATCTCAACCAAATTTGATCGATCTCACCATAGTTCGATCAATTGAACCTCCTCAAGTCCGAAAGAAAATAGATTCCAACTCATTAAAAGTTAGCTCATAGTGCAATCATTAGAGGGACCTTGGAGTACAAGCCCAGACCAATGGGTGTAACACTTGACTTACCTATATAAGGATTTTGAGCCATTTTTACATCATAACTTGTAACATTCAACATAACTTGTATATTTTCATATCTTGGAGAGGAGGCTAGAGACCAAAGAGAGCTTTTCACACACCTTTGGGAGTTCTTCCATTCTTCTAGGGTTTCCATCAAGAATGAGGTCATTCCTACCATGGAGATAGCCTTTGAGGGTTGGATGACTACTTCAATGAGTGGCTAGACATCTACTTGGGGCTAGAGTAACCCCTAAGTTTACTTCCTA